GGGTTCTCTGTGCTGGAAGGGACTTCAGAACTCATCAACCGAGTGACCTGGCCTGGGGGCAGCTGCTCAGCCCTCAGGGTGGACAAGGATGCCTGGGCTCGAGAGTCAGGCCATGCAAAATTAAACGCAAGTGTCACCATTTCCTTCCGCGTAACCCCGAGTGGTTACCTAACTCCTCTGAGACTCGGTTTCCTTATCTGGAAAATGGAGAGAGATGCTACGGTTGCTGTGAGGATTAGAGATGCTGCATGTTAGGGCTGGTGTAGGTTAGGGCTACACCAGGGCACAGCATGTTGGACGAAGCCAAATTTGAAACCCTCCTAGAGGCCGTGTGACCTTGAACCTGGTGTTTCACTCTTCTGTAGAAATGAGATTCTACTTATTGCCTCACTTAATGGTGAGAATTAGAAATAATACAGCCTGCCAGTGTGGTGGCTCACGCCTGTAATCCCAGCACTTTGGGAGGCCAAGGCAGGTGGATCACCTGAGGTCGGGAGTTCAAGACCAGCCTGATCAACGTGGAGAAACCCTGTCACTACTAAAAATACAAAATTAGCTGGGTGTGGTGGCGCACACCTATAATCCCAGCTACTTGGGAGGCTGAGGCAGGAAAATCACTTGAACTCGGGAGGCGGAGGTTGCGGTGAGCCGAGATAGCACCATTGCACTCCAGCCTGGGCAACAACAGCCAAACTTCATCTCAGAAAAAGAAAAGAAATAATATAGCCCAAGGACCTGCTGACAGATAAACACGTAGCAGGTGTTAATAGATGGTGGTCTCTGTTACCACCCTGGGTGCTTCTACGTTTTTGTTAAATAAAGCCAAAGTTAGCTTCTAAGAGAGAGTCAGACACTTAGGAGGCACTTTATGAATATTTGCGGAATGAACAGCTCAGTGTTGTGAATGAACTGTTCTTATGAATGAATAATGCTGAAGTAAGAGCTAGGCCATCTGCTGCAAAGAACACCACTGCATAGTACCCAGACCCAGAGCCACTGGGAGAGTCCCCTGACCCTGATTCTTTCCCCAGAATGATGCCATCGCAATCACCTGGAACAGGCTAGCCAGCCAGTCTCTGGGACAGGTGCTCAGGTACCCAGCAATCTGGGCCGCAAATGCCTGGAGGGTATTGGGCAACTCTCAGAACACCCTTGCTTCCTCTACGTGAGCTGGGCTGGTGTCTGCCTTTCAGCAGGAAGAAAGGCCTCTTCCTCCGGGGTTTGTGGCCTAGATTCTGAGCCAGTCACCTTCATGTGTAGGAAAGTTTGCTCCCCCAACCCCAAAAGCCTCCTTTGGGCTCTGAAAGGGTTAATGCCATCGGCAAAATAAACAGCCAGGCCAAGTTCTTAGGGATCTTCACGGGACCCTGTCTGGGTCAAGTACTGAGCTGGGTGCTGGGGACACAAACAGCGGCGGTGTTAAGCCACCTACTACGAGTCTAGGCACTGGCCTTGCTCTCAGACTAGTTGGGGGACGGGTATTTAAACACAAGGTGTGGCAAATCTCGGGTAAAGAATGAAACACTGCCAGAAAAATAAAGAGGGGCAAAGACGAATCTCCAACTTCCCCGCAAATAACCACAGACACGGGCACAAGTGATGCGTCACAGCATGGTTTATGACACTGAAAACTTGCAAACAGCCCCCGTGTCCAACAGCAGGGGAGCAGCCATGTCAGGATGCAGCCAGAGCTGCAGGCGCAGGTGGGGCACGTGCCAGCCCCAGGTCTGCTGGCCTGTCATTCCACTGCCCTCAGCCTCTGCCCTCAGCCCTGCCCAGCACAGAGCCCATGGCCCTTGTTCTGCTGTGAGTGACCAAGTGTGCTTCTACAAAGAAGCTTTGCTTCCGAAGTGCAGCTGCTTTCCCTGGGTGTGAGTGTGAGTATGTGTGAGTGTGTGAGTGTGTGTGTGTGTTACAAACCCAGTTTTGTATTGCTCCCTGTGAAATTGCAAATAACATGTGCTCTCTTTTGCGTCTCCCCTTGCTCATTGCTCCGCTGGGTCTCTGGAGTCCCCGGGGCTCATCCCTTGGCCTTCTCTCTTCTTCATCCACACTCATTCCCCAGAGCAGCTGGAGATGTTGACATCTCACAGTTTTATCCTTCCCCGCCTGGTCCTGTTTCTTAAGCTCCGGAATCATGTGTTCAAACGCCCTACAGGGCATCATCACGGCAAACCACACTTGGCTCAGCCAGGACAAAACTCCTGATCTCCACCGTGCCTATCCCCAACCCCTCCCTCAGCCTTTCCTGCCCAGCTGCGGGCACCACCATCCCTCCAGGGGTTCAGGCTCCAAACTGTGGCATCCTCCTCGATTCCTCTCTCTTTCTTAACACCCCTCATCCAGTCCATCTGCAAATCCTGTCGGCTGCATTCCATCACAGAATGTCCAGAATCTGAACCGTCCTCCCCTCCTCCACCACCACCACGCTGGCCTGAGCCCCATCATCTGTCATCAGCCTGTCTGCAGTGGCCATCTCACAGGTCTCCCGGCCCCCTCCCTGGTCCCCTACAGTCTATTCTCACATCACAGCCAGTGTGATCACATTTAAGCAAGTCAGTTCACAATCCTCCTCTGCTCAAAATGACCGCAGGCTCCCCACGTTACTTGGAGCAGAAGCCAAAGCTCTTAGGATGCCCCAAAGGCCCTATACGATCTCACCCCCACCCCAGGCTGCTCTCCTCATCCTTCACTGCAGTTCAGCCACACTGGCCTCTTTGTTCTTTCTGGAACCCTCCAGCCACGTCCCTGCCTCAGGGCCTTTGCACTGATTGCACTGATTGCACTGATTGTTCTCTTGACCTGGAACATTCTCCCTCCAGTTTTCCACATTGTCACTCAAGCCTTTGCTCAAATGTCACCTTCTCTGGCCACCCAATAAAAAATTGCAATTGGCCCCGGCCCTGTGTTCCTGGTGGCTCTTATCCTGTCCCTTTTCCTTTTTCTGCCCCCCTAACATATGACAGGATTCACTTACGGCATGTATTGCTTACTGGCTGGCTCTCCCAACTTAAAGTAAAAGAAAAGGCTCCACGAAGGCAGGACTTTTGTCCATTTTGTTCACCGCATATCCGCCGTGCCTGAGACGGTGCCTGGCCGTCAGTAGGCTTTCAGTAAGTATGTGTCGAATTAACAAAAGTGCTTTGGGGCTTGTCCTCTTTGTGGCTTATTCACAGCAAAGTTAAACCCCAAACTGCTGAAGAAAATATAAAAGAAAAGAAGGAACAAAAGAAAACAATCCTCAAGAGACCTAACACTCGGGGTAGAGCCCAGCCTCCCACTGATTCGCTGTGTGACTGTGGGCAGGTCACACCCCCTTTCTGTGCCTCAGTCTCCCCATCTGCAGAATGAGGACTGGATTGGGTGTTCTCTAAGGCCCTCCCAACTCTAACAAGGGAGAGCTCCCTCCTGCCACTTTCCAGTAGAAACTCAAACTAGTTCTAATCATGTGGTCAGCCAGAGAAACTGGGTTTCTGAAGACCTACTGTGTACAGGCACTCATGTAGCTGTGTCAGAACATCAGACCTGGCCATCATCTGCTGGTCCAGAAGATAAGCTTTGAGCCTTGAGAAGGTGATCGGGACCCAGATACCCACTGTAGGGCTGTGGGACCCTGGGGGTCTCACTCAACCTCTCTAAGTCTCTGTGGCCTCATCTGCACATGGGTATCACGATAGGACCCACCCCATGGGGATGTTGACATGCGGGAGGATTTGAACTGAAGTCTGCCTGACCCCAGGGCCTGGCTCTGAATTAATGAGGCAAATTATTTGCTTCAAAGCCAAAGCAAGCAAACAGAAATGAATGCAGAATCTCCAACCCACCAAACGCTCGAAGCTAGGCCAGACCCCATGCATGCGCCCTCTTAGTGCTCCTTGTTGGGACTTCTCCACCACCCCCCAATTGCCCCATTCCAAGGCAGAGCCTGGCACCGGTGGCCCAGGTGCAACCATAGCTCTGTGGCCACATGGGTGTCCCCCTGGCAGGGTGGCTCACTATGTGATCTAACACCCAGAGGCCCTGGCAGGAGGCAGGTGTCCTGGAGAATGCAGAGAACATCAGCGTCCACGCCAGGAAGCTCATCTCCTCCTCCCAGCTCTGCCACAAGCTAGCTCTGGCACCTTGGGCAAGACCTAGTCACTTCTACTCTCTGAGCCTCAGTTTTCCCTCTGTAAAATGGGTTGCAATAATAAGCCCACACATACCTTGTAGTGTAGTGAGATGTCGCCATGATACAGTCTGAAAAGCGTGTGTCATGTAGACAGGCAACGAATGAATCTCACATTCTGGAACTGGACACCTTTGGTTCCAGTTCTGGCTCTACCACTCTCGAGCTGTGTCAGCACTCTGCACCTCCGTTTCCTCCTCTGTAAAATGGGTATAACAATGGCACCAACGTCAGAGGCCTGCTGTGAGGGTGAAATAAGAGGATAATGGTACTACCTAGTTCACAGGTTAGTCGTAATGAGCTATTCCATGTGAAGTGCAGGAAAACCTGCTGGTGTAAAGAAACACCAAGGAGGTGAGCTGTCATGTGGGTGGCCCAGGTGGAGGGACCTGTCCCAAGCCTGGCTGGTCTTTGAACGTGTAGCCTGGCCTGTGACCTCTTACCTAAGATCTCCCTGCTTTTCTCCCCTTCTCTCCGATTCCCCTGTTTGACATAGGTGAGATTGGACAGATCTGTGTTCAGGGTCTCCAGGCAGGGATGGGGCTATGGGCTCGAGGACTGGGACCCAGCCCCTCAGCCCCACTCACCACCCCAGCCTTTCTCAGCCATCTGTCCTTCCCAGGAAACTGACAAAGCCAGCCTGCCACTGTACCAGCATATCTGGAGGTCCAAGGGGCAGCCCCAGGGCAGAGGTGATTTTGACAGCCCACATCCCTGAGCTGAGTGGGGAGGGGTTGAGCCTCTGGGCCACAGACCGCAGGTGCTGACTCATAGCCTCCAATGGGCGGTATAAAAGAATCAGACCAGGGGCTTCCTACAGCCAGAGGGACAAGCTAGCCAGACGATGGCCCAGGGGACATTGATCCGTGTGTCCCCAGAGGAGCCCACCCATGCCGTGTGTGTGCTGGGCACTGTGAATCAGCTTGATGTCTGCAGGTGAGAGGGGGACCTTCTGGGGTTTGGGGGGCAGGTCAGGAGATGCTGGATGAGCCAGTTCTGCTGACACAGGAGCATGTGTTTGGCTCAGGCTCCAGCCTCTGCAGCCACTGCCAGAGGAGCAGCTGGAGAGATAAGACCCCAGCAGCCCTGGGAAGTACCAGACTCATGGCAGTGGGTTCTTTGCCATGTACAAGTGCAAATTCCCCAGGACCACACCACAGATAAATTATTTTTTTTTTTTTTTATTTTTTTTTTTTTGGATTGCAGCCATTTATTGAAATTAAAGACATTTTTTAATCTTCTTGAGATTCTATATCAGGCTGTCTACAAAGGCCACTGGGAGGCAGAGGATCATTTGAACGCAGGAGTTTGAGCTGTGGTGAGCTGCAAAGGGCTCACTACAGCCTGGGTGAGGAAAGACCCTGTCTCAGAAAATAAAAAAACAACTTTTAGCCACATTTCCAGACTTAAATTAAAATGCTACATGGGGAATGCAGAACACAGATAAATTATTATGGGGCAAATCAGGCCCTCCGCCTTACTGTCTTTGAGGCAACAGAAGCTTAGAGAGGGTCTGTGACTTGCTTAAGGTCACATAGCAAGTGTCCCTGGAAGTCAGGCTAGGCCCTGGGCCTCCTGGTTCACAGCACAGCTTGTTACCCCACACCTCTTAGCCAAGCCTCCCTCAGTGGGTGTGTAATAGCGTGGGTGGGGGTGGTGAAATGGGGCTCTGGCATGGCAGAGACTGAGGTAGGAAGACTGGCCCTGCTGCTGGCTAGCAGGGGGGCCCTGGGCAACTGAGCCTCAGTTTCCTCATCTGTGAAATGAGGATAATACTCACGATAGGGGGTGGTTATAGGAATTCAATGTGAAAAAATGTGCAAATGTTGGTTGAATACTTAGCACACCATTGGGCCCATCCCTGGTAGTTTCTATTCACTCATTTAACAAATCCTGTGTCCCATGCCCTGTGGCAGGGTCTGGGTTAAACAGGAGGGTAGAGGAATGCTGTCAGGGAGTGGGCAGGGCCATTGCTCTCATTGCTGTGTCAGGAACAGGAGTGGTTGCCCCCGGCTTCCCCATCCCAGACGGAGCATGGATGGCCCTAGAATGCTGCCCATAGGAGTGTCAGGGACAGTTCCTTGCAAGTATCACTTGCTGACTGAGCCCCAGCAGCCAGAGAACAGCAGTAAATGTCGGGTGCCTCCACCAGGGCCACCTGGGGGAGGCAGGAGATGAAGAGGTTGGGGGAAAAAGGAAAAAGAAAATTATCCAACATCATTTGAGGCACCCCCAACTCCTCTGAGAATGGGTGTGGAGGAAATGACAGAGGCTGGAGCTAGTCTAGGGCCTCTCCCAGCATGCTCTGGCTGGCCCTCTACCCAGTGTGGGGGAGTAATGCTCAAGGTCACAAGTGCTTCCTCCAGCCCTGGAGAGGTGGGTGGAGAGCTAGTCTGGGTTGGGCAGAGAGGAAGGCACTGCCCATTTCACAGGTGCCTCAGAATCCTTCTTTTTTTTTGAGACGGAGTTTAGCTCTTGTTGCCCAGGCTAGAGTGCAATGGCACGATCTCGGCTCACCACAACCTCCACCTCCCAGGTTCAAGCAATTCTCCTGCCTCAGCCTCCCAAGTAGCTGGGATTATAGGCATGTGCCACCACGCCTGACTAATTTTGTATTTTTAGTAGAGACGGGGTTTCTCCATGTTGGTCAGGCTGGTCTTGAACTCCCGACCTCAAGTGATCCGCCTGCCTTGGCCTCCCAAAGTGCTGGGATGACAGGCGTGAGCCACCATGCCCGACTGAAATCCTTCTTTTCTCCTCCTTCAGCCAGAGAGTGAGCCCTGTCATTCTATCCCCTGAACATCTCACATCACAACAGCTAATATTTCCTTCATACTTCCTATGTACAACTCATTTAATAGTCTTGGGGCCGGGCGCGGTGGCTCACGCCTGTAATCCCAGCACTTTGGGAGGCCGAGGCGGGTGGATCACGAGGTCAAGAGATTGAGACCATCCTGGTCAACATGGTGAAACCCCATCTCTACTAAAAATACAAAAAATTAGCCGGGCATGGTGGCGCATGCCTGTAATCCCAGCTACTCAGGAGGCTGAGGCAGGAGAATTACCTGAACCCAGGAGGCGGAGGTTGCCGTGAGCCGAGATCCGCCATTGCACTCCAGCCTGGGTAACAACAGCGAAACTCCGTCTCAAAAAAAAAATAAAAAGTCTTGTGAGGTAGGTAATGTTATTCCCATTTTACAGAAGGTGAAACTGAGGCTGCAGAAGTTAAGTAACCCACCTCAAGCCACACAACTAGTAAGTAGGGGAGCCAGGACTCAACCCAGGCAGCCTGACCCCGGGACCCTCCTCTCTTCCCATGGGTCCTGGTTCCAGCCCTTCCTGTCACTTATCTGTTCTTAACATAGTCCCAGACAGTGCCTCCCTCCCATCTCCTGAGCAGCCATCACCCTCTTCCCCGAACCATTTAGGTGGGAGGGCCACGCTCCCCTCACCTCCACCTCACATATGCATACCTCCACACCTTTGCTCAAGCCATTCTCTCTGTCCCCAAAGTCAGAGATCCCAGGGGTTAGAAAGACCCCTCGGTCACTGAGGCAGAGTAGATTGCAGAAGTGTGTGTGTCTATTCCAGAGCTGTGCCTAAAAACTCTGCGTGCGACTTTCATTCTGAGTCTGAAAAGTACTTTTCTTGCAAAATACATTGACTATATTGAAGAAAAATTCAGCTGACCTGAGATGAATATTAAAACCTGTCAAGGGGGCCAGGTGTGGTGGCTCATACCTGTAATCCCAGCACAAGGCCAGAGGATCTCTTGAAGCCAGAAGTTCGAGACCAGCTTTGGCAACAAAGTGAGACCCTCTCATCTCCACAAAAATACAACTAGCTGGGTATGGAGGTGCACAACTGTAGTCCCAGCTACTTGGGAGGCTGAGGCTAGCTTGAGCCCAGAAGATCGAGGTTGAGGCTGCAGTGAGCTGTGATCATACCTTTGCACTACAGCCCGAGTGACAGAGCAAGACCCTGTCTCAAACAAAAACAACTATCAAAGGTTTTCTGTGATGCCTGTGGCAAGGACCAGGGAGGCACCATGCCCTCAGCTATTATGCGCCAGGCCCTTTGTGTCCCTGATTTCTAATCCTCACTGAAAGTTCAACACGATTACCATGCCCATTTAGAAATGAGTAAACTGAGGCAAAAACAGGCTGGATGCAGTGACTCATGCCTATAATCCCAGCACTTTGGGAGGCTGAGGCAGGTGGATCACCTGAGGTCAGGAGTTTGAGACCAGACTGGCTAACATGGTGAAACCCCATCTGTACTAAAAATACAAAAATGAATTAGTTGGGCGTGGTGATGTAAGCCTGTAATCCCAGCTACTCAGGTGGCTGAGGCAGGAGAATCACTTGAACCCGGGAGGTGGAGGTTGCAGTGAGCCAAGATCAGGCTACTACACTCCAGCCTGGGTGACAGAGCAATACTCTGTCTAAAAAAGAACAAGAAAAAAAACCAAGAGGCAAAAACACCTTCTTGAGTGTCACATAAATTAAAGGTGGCAAGCCTGGGTGCAGTGGCTCACACCTGTAATCCCAGCACTTTGAGAGGCCAAGATGGGCAGATCACTAGAGGGCAGAAGTTTGAGACCAGCCTGTACAACATGGGGAAACCCTGTCTCTACTAAAAATACAAAAAAATTAGATGGGAGTGGTGGCGCACGCCTGTGATCCCAGCTACTTGGGAGGCTGAGGCACAAGAGCCGCTTGAACCTGAAAGGAAGAGGTTACAGTGAGGCAAGATCGCACCACTGCACTCCAGCGCGCACACAGGGTGAGACTCTGTCTTAAAAACAAATGTTAAAGGTGGCAAAGCCAGGACTGTCTGAGCCTAAGCCACTGTGCTTCCCAGCACACACTGCCTCCAAATGCTGTAGGGTGGACCCCCTGGGCACTGCTCCCTGGTGGGCAGAGCTCATTCAGCTTCCAAAGGATTTGGTAAAGGCCTAGAATGGGCAGTGGGCATTCCGAAGCTGCCATCCATGGTCTGTCTTCTTCCTCCCGGGGTCTCCTTTTACTTGAACCCAGGAGGCGGAGGCTTTGATGAGCCTAGATCGTGCCACTGCACTCCATCCTGGGCAACAGAGGGAGACCCTGACCCCCTGCCCCCCACCCAAAAAAAAAAAGAAAGAAAGAAAATGGGAGCCAGGTTTGCATGACCTGGTTCCCAGCCTGACTTTTCCCTTTGGCTTAGTGAGTTTGGGGTCCCGAGATTTATTTTCCTTTGACGGCAGCAAGGACCACATGAGCCTCTGTGTGTGAGAGTGGCAGACACTGAGTGCCGCCCTAGCGGGGGTGGGCGCTCAGGGGATGGGGGATGGTGGAGTTGAAGGAGCGATGTCGCTGGCTAGGGCTGAAGCTCCCAGTGCTGGCGGCACGGAGGGTACTGGAAGTTACAAGAAGAATCAGCTCTGGGTGGGTATTACCTTATGATAAACACACATGGGTCACATGCATGAGGGCATGCACATGCCTGGTGTGAACCCCCAGATGTTTATGACAGCTCCTTGTTTAGGAGCTGAGAACATCTGGAACACAGCCAGAGGAAGCACGAGTCCAATCCCAGTGGCCTAGTTCCCAGCTGGCCCTTACCTTTCTGAGCCTCAGTTTTCCCATCTAGCAGAGAGAGAGAGGTTATAAAGGTGCCAGACCCACCCATTTTTGCTCTTCTGCCTCCCCACTTGAAGAAGCCACACGGGACAGAGTGGGCTGAGGCAGACCCAGCCCCTCGTCCACCTGCTGTGCGGCCCTTGGCCTCCATTGTCCTTTGAGCCCTTTATTCATTTTTCCTGGTGGACCAGACACATGGTGCGTTCGTCTCCTGTCCCCGCCCTCTGACCACAGTGCCCAGGCAGCTAGGAGGCCTGGCTTATCTGAGGCTTTGAGAGAATGAAGGAAAACAACAGCATGCAGGGCCAAGAGAAT